AAATTCACATATCGTCGACCTTTTATTTTAATTATGAGGTTCTTTGAATGTTTCTATCATGATTTGGTGAATTCTGACCTGTATTTATTATGTTGATTCAGGTATGAGATATTTATTTCAGAAGCTTCGTTGATGAAAGTTGTCGACGTTCTAAAAGAACCTTTTTTCAGAAGGTTTGCATCTTCGACATTAAACATCGCCAAATAAATCTCTACCAACTAACACTAACAATATATTTCTTGATAGAAATCAGGTATGAGTTTGTTTCCATAGATTTTGTGTTTTAAACTTTCTAGAGGTCCCACTGTACATATGAGCTTTTTTGTGTGGTTGTGTAGACTATTCCCGTGGTCTTCTCAATGCATATTTTCATGTCTACCAATTTGTACAGATAAACGCATTCAAGGACTTATGACCTTCAATATTGGGTTAAGGTTCAAACATGCCCTTTAACTTGTATTTACTTTGTTTCCTTCTCATTTTAATTTTATGGTATACATTGTTCGTTCTTGTTTTTAAGTTTTTGGTAGCTGATTACATTTTTTATTTGTTGCCACTTGGTCTGAGACCAACTATTTTACCTGGTCAGATGGAATGTGACGAGTATGCTCTAGAATTTCTCAAAGCAATATTTTTACTGTTGATGTTGATTCATAATGTAAAGTCACAAAATACTCTCGGGTTATTTGAACTTTTAAACTCATTTACAACATAAATGTTACAAATATGGTTCGCATACATGTTCATTGAGAAGTAACAAACTGATATTGCCATGAAGAACGAGAAAACACTGAAGTGATGGTTTTCATTTGGATGGTAATGCATTCTCCTTTTTTTCTTTTCAATTACAGATAACCTGGCAATCTGCGTTCTATATATTTAAGTGATTGTATTGTGTGATTTCAGGGGGCAGTGGATTAGTGGATTTGCTGAAGATGAAAATCAATTGTTGAAGTTCATCGATGAGGACTCGAAACAATTATTTAGTTTGATAGTTTTATATTGTAAGTGTTACTAGCATAATATTTAGGCTTATTAGACTTTAAAGACATTTATGTTTCAAATATTGACAATATTGTTGTTAGAAAACCATTTTTAAGGAATAACCACATGGCTCTTACCGGTTTGTGTCGGTTCTTATTGGTTTGTTTTTAGGCATTTTTATATCATGCATTTCTTGATGGTTGAGCGGTTCTCGGTTCAAATAGTTGAACTGAACAGTTTGGTATGGTTTTCAAAACCATAGTAATTGATAACAGACTGAATCCCATTGTATTTGAGGTCGATATCCAGTCACTGAAAAAGCAGGCTAGGGATCAAACAATGTTGTATTTGACATTGGTATTTAGTCACTTAAAAATCAAGTTAGGTACTACATCATATTCTATCCGAAACTAATATTCAGACATTGAAAAAACATATTAAAGACTAAATGAGATAGTATCAAAGATTGATATTTAGTCCCTGAGTGATAGCATGGGGTCTAGAAGGAAAGACATTGGGGACTGAACATGATAATATCAACGACTAATATTTAGTCTTTGAAAGATACTATCAGGGACCAATATAAGGTAAAATAGATATTTCAATGAAACATATTGGAGACTGAATGTTATATTATAAATGACTAATATTCAGTCCTTAAAAGATAGCATCAGGGTCTGATATGATATCAAATCGGGGATTTATAGAAAACAAATTAGAGACTAAATGAGATATTATCAAAGACTGATTTCCCGTCTTTGATATTTTGATGTATTTAGGACTGATTTTCAGTCCCAGATACAAAAAAAATCAAGTATCTAAGACTAGGTCTCGGGGACTAGCTAAATCAGTCCTTGATTCTCATCAGAGACTGATTATTGACCATCAGAGACGACTGATTATGTCAGTCTCTGATACCCCTTTTTCTTGTAGTGAATACATTGACAATACTTGAAATAAAATTCAACATGTATAACAACAAAACTCTCAATATTTATAACACAAAAGTCTTTAAAAAGTTAACTTGACGAGGTTGAAGACAACCTGGTCTTACCTTTGCTATATTAATACATGATTAGATACACTTGCCTAAGGTGTGTAACAATTCAATTCTCGTAAAACCTTTTATAAATATAAAACCTAAATAATTAAAACACATCAATACGTATGTTGGTTGTTTATAGACCCCAAAACTTGAACCACATATATATAACCTCATCTACCACGTCATTGACGTTGATGTCACCCTACTTGACACATCTAATATCTATGGCCATAACACCAAGGAAATCGTAGGTAGATACTGACGTGACACCTTTGTCTTCATGGAAAGCTTAATATACATGTTAGTTTTGCTATGAACTTGTCATATTATATTTTTAGTCCATCAATCATGGTCTTGTTTGTAACAAAAAATCTACATATACCATTGTATCTTTCGTTATTGCCTTTGCTTTTGAGTTTATGATAATAAACCAAAACTCAAGAATTATTTGAGTGAATTGTGAAATATAGTAAGCTATGTAGTAAGTTCTAGGAAGAACTTAGTATACACCCTTAATAAAACTCAAAAAATCATATTTGACCTGCCTAATATCTAAATATCATATATACCTTTCATAAGCATTCAAAATATCATATATTACCGAATCCTTTTTTTTAAAAACATTTTTAGATATTTTCATAATTAATTATTGTAATTTAAAATCATTATAATTATACGAAAATATGGAATACATGTAATACCCCTCTTTTCTATTTTCCGTCAACTGTTGCTTGATCCTTTATTCTGGCCCACCATCATGGCTGATGCATTCATGGAGACACAAATGGATGTCTACGTCTTCCTTTAATTCACTTGAATCACATTTAGTTTATAAGTTTATGTATATCTTTCATCCATTCACCTCTACATTTACTCTTTTAGGTTTAAACATTCTCGAATAAGCAATTTAAAACCTTTTAACATATCAAATGTGATTTTTTTCATTTATTTACTTTCTCAAGTATCAATAGCGTTTAACAAATGTAATTAGCGTAATGGTTCCAATCATTGTTCAATTAGCTCAAAAACTTTGTTTTACATATAAATCATAAATTTGGTGTTTAATTAGTCTTTTAACGCAATTAACTAGCTCATAATTGTTATCGATGAATGTACCAAACGAGATTCAAGTTCATATCTACATGTTCAATGGGAAAGAACAAATAATCTGGTAATATGATGGATTTTCGATATTTTAAAGGAATTATTAAATATGATGTTTTGCACATTTACCCATTCAGTCACTTATGTTATTTCCGTGCCTTTTAAGGAAACAAAATTATTAGTGATCTATCTTTTTATTCCCTCTATGTAACATCCCGACTCCCAGGTACAATATTTTTATAATTTTTATGAGTTTGACTGAGCAACTCGACGAGTTGGAGGCCCCAACTCGTCGAGTAGAGAAGGGTTTTGGCCGCGTGGGTTTTACGACCGACTCGACGAGTTGGAGGGACCAACTCGATGAGTTGGCGCTGTGAGAGGAAACCCTAATTTCCTGGGGTTGTGTCCTATTTAAAGGACCTTAAGCCGTCATTTCCGCCTCCCATTTCATCCTACTCCCCTATGTGAAAGCCTAATCGTTTAGATTGATCTAAGAGAGAGAGAAGAGCTAACTTTGAGCATTCTAGTGCACTTTTGGAAGAGAAGAGAAGAGTAGCAAGGATTGGAGCGAGGAGGGACTGTTGGATCCAGTGTTTATCCATCCTTAGCTTTTGTTTGAAGGTAAAAGTTGCCACCTTGCTCATTATTTTGATTAGATCTCGTGTTTAGGAAGTTTTAGGGCCTTTTCCATCTTTTCTTGAGACTTTGAGTATTATGAGCTTGCCAAGAGATTAAGACTTCAGATCTGGACCTTGTGAGGTCCCTTAAGCCCAAAGGTCCAAGCTTTATCAAGCTAGAGGAGATCATTTATGCTTAGGACTCTAAATGGAACTTGTTTTTGGCATTTCAAGCCCTAAGTGTCATGCATGGACGTAAAGCTTGCAGCTTTATGTGGTATCTCAGCCTTGGGAGGCTAGATCTAGAGTTTGGGTTTGTAACTCTGCCTTAAAATGTCTGAATAAGAAAAGAGACTTAAGGGACTCGCCGAGTTGATGAGCCAACACGACGAGTCGGCTAGGGTTTTCCTCGACGAGTCTGGACATGAGTAACTCGACGAGTTAAGTTGGATTTTCACGACATTTCTGAAGGAAGGAAGGGACTCGACGAGTCACATAGATGCACTCGACGAGTAGGGTCAACATGGACTGTTGACTCGAGCGTTGACTTCGGTTGACTTTAGGGTTTGGTCAAGACAGGGATTATGGAGACCATGGAGGGGTAAAATGGTCTTTTACCCATTCCAAGATATTAGAGAGAGAAAAAACTTAGAGTTGTGATTTATGTGTTAATTAGAGATATTTATCGTATGTGTTAGGCGGAGGCTAGATCAGTGATTCGTGTACGAGGTTTATTTGCTTGCTTATGAGGTGAGTCTTCTCACTATACTTACCTTAAGTGGTAATTTTGTGTGACCGGTGGGTCTTGTGCGCTTATATTGAGTATTGTGATATCCTGCATTATGTCTTTGTGATTTATGTCGTGTATTATGCTGAGCTTTACTGAGTTAGGACCGGAGGGTCCATCCGAGTTGTTGGACCGGAGGGTTCCACTGAGACACATCGACCAGAGGGTCTTATTTGCGATATAGCCATGAGAGGTTAATGAGTTATGTGTGGTATTTTGGGGAACTCACTAAGCTTCGTGCTTACTGTGTTATGTGTTATGTGTTTCAGGTAATTCTCAGGATCATGGGAAGGAGCCGACTTGATTGTACATACGAGACGGAGTTATGTTCTAGAGGATCCTGGATTTTTATTCAAAAAATTATGGATATGTGTTTTTTGATAACTTGATACTTGGGGTTTTTGTGAATTGTGTCAATGAGAATTATGTGATTTTAAAATGAAAGATTTGTTTGAAAAATTACGGTGTTACACTCTACCTTTAGTAGCCTGTTTCAATCCTTGTTACGTAACATTTTGCATAACCAAAAAATCCATAACAAATTCAGTTCTAACACATCAAATTACAGCTTGTAAACAATTATGCCTAAAAACAAACCCCAATTGAGCAGTAAGTAAATCTTCATCTTTCGATTTTTGGCTTACCACCTCCTTCAAGCAAATCTTCAGGCCCTAATTTTGGATTACCACTTCCCTCAAGGTTTGATTTTGGACTTCAACATCATGCACATGATTTTCAGCCTCGTCAACCCACAAAAGAAATCCACTCCTAGGTCCCTGCAGATTTCAATATCATCAATTAGCAAAATTATGTTAGAATTGAAAAAAAAACTCAAATGTTTCTTAAGAATTGAGTATCATATTCGGACAAACATAATATTCCCTATCGAGATTCTTCTTAGTGGTGGAAGTCCTTATGATTGACATGCTTCTACAATCGTACATAACCATATTTTCTTGTGTTGGATGCAGCAGAAGAAGAAAAAGAAACGAGACAAAAAAAAGTGAAGAAGAATAATATGAGAAAAAGAAGGAAGGAGATGAACTAGTCAAATGGACAAATAAAGGCATGGACCGGTCAAATGGTCATTGTTTTAGATGAGGAAGTCTCCGACTGTCCCCTTCAGTTTTACAAAAGGGCCTATTCGACTTTGAGAAATAAAACTTTGTTCCCTTAAAAGACACGAAAATAACATAAATAACCGAATAAGCAAATGTACAAAACATTGTAGGATTAGAGTGCGATTTTTCTATTTATATATAACAAAATAATATGTAAATAACAAACGACATCAATATCCTCATTGTGATATTTGGTTTTGTAAACTTACTTTTAGTTTTTGCCTGTTTTGAGTGATGTTATCAATCTACTAATTAGTTATGTTATGCTAGTTGAACCTATTTTTTCCAAAAGCTTCTTAACATGTTAGCAATCATTTTTTTCCCATTTATTTAAAATATCGCTGCTTTAAGCTTAAGTTTGATTTTGAAAAACAACTATTTTACTTTACATGTATATTCAAATAGATTAAAACATTGTGATATACGATATTTAAAAAAAGCTATCAACAAATCTAAGAGGGTATTTGGCATTTAATTTAAAACCAATTTATTTATTTATTGGATTTTTGAAAAGTCAAATAAATCAGAAAAAATGTTCAATAATATGAAAATGATTTTTAAAATAACTTCTTATTAACTCTTCAATTTTTTTCAATAAATTAGAATTTCTAATAACTTTTTAGGTTGTAAAATCTAAAATACCCTTAAAACATCTATAAAAAACACTTTTTAAAAAATTACTTACGGACTAATTGATTTTTCCACTGTAAAAGTTTTTTGAAACACTTTTTTAAAAATTCATTTTCCCACAACTATAAATTAACAAGTCATTTTGTCTAAAAATTATTTTTTAGACAAAACTGTAAAAATGGTCTCTGTGGTATGCATTTTTGGGGGTTTAGTCCAAACCATGACTTTTTTGGATTGGTGGTCTTTTTGGCCATGTTTGTACGTAGATTTGGTCCCTCGTGAAAATGAAATGACTATAATGCCCTTCTAATATATTCTTTTATTTTTTCTATTTAATTTAAATAAAAAAGAAAATAATTAAATTAATTGGGCCCACTTCTCTCTCTCTCCATATATCATGTTGTTGATTATCCAGGATGATTTCTGATTATTTTGTTTCTTTTCATATGCAAATTTTTAAGATTATGAATTTGGCAAATGAGCTTCTTCCTCCATTACCCAATGGAACCATAACACTTCCTGCCAGCAACAATCTATATGTAAAAGGGTCTATTTTGAAGAAATCAACTGTGGGAAGTTCTAGCAAGCAAGAAGAAAAACGAGTGGAGGTACACCTGAGATTTCAGCTCGGAAGAAGCTGTTAACTGAGCAGCCTGAGCTTTTGCAGCAATCTGGAGACGATTTCTCCCCTTCTACATCACCACCGAAAATATGGACCACCGTCGGAAATACAATCACCATGGCCGATTTCTCTCATTGCGTAATCCAGAGTCGTTATGTGAATCTAGGCTTCATTGATCAGCCTGCGCAATCGAGTCCACCTTCTCCTTCAGCGCGATTTCCTTACTGGTAACCACTTTCCGCAAAAGCCTAACGCCACAATCAACACCACGAATCGAATCCAATTTGAAAAGCAAAGACATTAGGGTTTCGTTCACCCTCAACCACTCCTTTGCATCTCTACGAATCAAATCAATAACTTTGATATCGTTAATCCTGCTGATCTGTGTTGTGTTTGGTGGACCGGCACAGATCGTGATAGTTTTTGAATGGAGTAGTTTCTGAAAATCGGACCTCTGTTCATCGTCGATTACCGCTAGTCCCAATGAAAATGATGAAACTTGTAAGTATCTTACTGAATTTGATGCGTAAAATTCTGATGTCGTGAACATATTTGGTACAGATGGAATAGGGGAAGAAATCATCTCACCGCCATCATCAGCCTCGCTCCACCATTACACTAGCCGAGAACTATGGCCTTGGGTTGAACGAGTAATCAAGGGCTCCAGATGCTTCAGTGGTTCTCAAATCTGAAGCTGTAAGAACATGATGAAAAGGGGAAGGAGAGGATATGGGTTGTGGGAGTCGATTGATTGGTGGTGGTGTTGGTTTACCGGAGAAGGTGGGTTAGTGTGTGGAGAGAGAGAGAGAGAGAGAGAGAGAGAGAGAGAGAGAGAGAGAGAGAGAGAGAGAGAGAGAGAGAGAGAGGCGGGCCGGGTTTTATATTTAATAATAATAATAATTTTAAAAAGTGAAAGAAAAATGAAAATTAAATCCATTAAGGGTATAACAGTCTTTTTAGTTTGGACAGTGACCAAAACTGCATGTAAACTAACTTAAAAGGACCACCAATCCAAAAAAGTCAAACTAACTTAAAAGGACCACCAATCCAAAAAAATCGAAGTTTGAACTAAAATCCCAAAAAAATATATACCGCAGTGAGCATTTTTGCAATTTTGTCTACTTTTTAATGTTTAAAATGAAATCTAAACAAATTCCATCTTTTTTTTCTTAATTTTTCTTTTATATGACATTTGATGGGAGTTTCTTTTAGCTATTTATATTGTTATAAAAAAATACGCCTAAAAGATATTTGTAATTATTTCGAGTATTTAACAATTTGTGTGAATGACCAAGATTATCAACATTAAAGTCTTTACCATATTATGCATGGGAAAGACCATCACTTTCCTCCTCAACCTCTCGAAAGCCAATTAAAGAATCTTTTGTCTCACACACACACGCGCGATGATTACTGCAGCTAATTAACCACAAACTTCACATACTTTTTACACGACACACAGAGCTTACTTTAGGAAAAACATAATAATATTTGTGTAGTCTTTTTTGGTTCCTTCTTCCCTTTGTTCACTTAGATCAACCACATGGTGCAACTCAAGCACACACAACTTTCACGTTGTTTGTTTCATCTATGACACATATGCAACCTTCGCCACACTCAAAGTAGGTCTTTCCGGCTTCAGAGTCTTCAGTAAATTTGGATACAACACAAGACCAACCTTCAGCACACTCACAGAATGCTTTGGCTGCTGCAATCGCAGAGCTCTCCACTGTCTGACTGCAACGCCATGCATGCATATTGTTGTTGTGTCACTACCGTAGTTCAAAGATTAAATAAGTAAAGTGTTAGTTAGCATTAGAAAACTTACGTTAATACGTACGTGACACAGGTGCAACCACTGCCATCACATATTGCGAATGGTTTACCAATCTTAGATGGCTCAGTTTTGGTGATGGTGCATGTCCATCCATCTGGGCACTTGCAGTTTGGCTTGTTATCAATGCTGTACAGAAGGAAAGGTAGCAGAGTCACTTATAATTACATCACTTCAATCCTGATTAAATTCATAGAAAAGTAAAAACTATATATTATATATGTGTAAGAAATTCATCGGCTTAATTTGTACTGTTGAATTAAAACTAATTTGATGTACAATTAGAAATATAAAAACTTCAATGAAGAAGAAAGACCTGGGAGAAGCTTGGCTCTGAGACTCCATACTTAGGCGTGAAGATCTACTTTCTTCAAGTTTCTCTATTGTGTCTTAAATGGAGGAAATTTTTGTCCACTTTCTAACTTTTTTTTTTCTTTTTTAAACGATATCTCATAGTTATCCTTTTTTTTTCCTTTATATGCGGTTGCCGATATTACTTAACGTGAATCAATGGTAACGTGGAGTCGCATAATTATGTTTTTGTCCACTTTCAGCCTTTTGTGTTAAAAAATGTGCCTTTCTTTTAATTATTATATGCCTGTCATTATCTAACCTGTAATCAATGAAGTTGTGGAACTGTCATTATTTAACCTTGATTTTATCCTATTCACTTCGCTTCTAGATGATCCCTCCGCAGATCAGGGCTTAGGAGTTGGGCTCTGGATATATATGATAATTAATTAAAATGTTTCTAAATATTTGGTTGGGACCAAATTGGGCCCATAAATAAGGCTGGTCTTCATCTATACGACTATATGTATGTCTATCGATTCTGGTGGATTTTGTAAGGGTCTTGAGACTTTATTGACATTGGACGCGGGAAACTTGGCCCTAAGAATAGGGCTAACCTGCCCCTCCTTTGATAGAGTGATGGTCAAGCGTGGACCGGGGTCAAGCTATTTACACATAGAACTATAAAAATGATTGTCAATTCCTTGGTGCAAAAACTTGGTGTTAGGTTGATGCATCCTTATCAATCGATTAAGGAGTGTGGTATTTATGTTGGAACATGGAACAGCCAATTATATCACATAATGTTAGCCCAATGGGTCGTTGTACGAGATTCCAATGATTTTGTATTAGTAAAGCATTATACTCCATAGTCATGGAGTTATTTTAATTTGGATCAAGCATGCCCATTTTTAGGTTGGACTGAAAGGGGATAGATTTTCGGGTTTTAAGATTAAAGTTAACTTTTGGTGTAAAGATGCCACTTTTGGATCAAGTTTGCATCGGATGGAAGGAGTGGATTGTTAGAAGTCATTGTTATCTAGAAGTATATTGACATTTCAACAAAGTAGGCAAACAACCTTTGACAAATGGATTGAAAATATGCACATTTGTGATCCAAGTAATGATGTCATTAACACCAAGCCCCTCTTATAAATAGAAGGCTTCATTCATTAGAAAATGTGCGCCAAGCATTAAGAGAAAAAGAGAAATAATAAGTGTAGTGTGCGTTTTGAGTGAGGTTGAGAAAAGAAAGAGGCTTGATTTATTTATTTAAATATTCTTATTTTTATTTTTTTAGAGAGTATTTTTGAGTGTCATCAATAAATATTGTTTTGTGCAATATCTTAGTTGTCCGGATCAAGTGGTATTAGAGTCAAATTTTATTTCAGGAACACACTTCCTGTTTTTTGGGTCGGAATTTTTTTTCTAGGCAAACCATTGGAAATGTCGCGTTTCAAGATTTCTGAAAATATTTTTTTGGAATTTTTCGACCATCGAAAAACCCTCAAAGGCAATCTAATGTTCTCCAGAATTGTGACGAAATAGTATAGGTTTTTGCCGACGAAGAAAGTTGACATTAACACGACATCACCATGACGCCAACAGTTGACGAGTCTTTCATAATTTTACAGATTAGCCCCTAAACTTATGACAATTACGATTTCATCCCCTATAAATCTTAAAATTTCAATTTTGGTTCCTAAACTTCTAAAACTTACGATTTAACCCTTATTCTTCTAAAAGTTTTGATTTCAACCTGTACACTTTTGAAACTTTTAGTTTTGGTCCTTGAATTTTTTGCAGATTTTCAAAATGGTAGATTTTCCTACCTCTATTGAGAAACTTAATAAAAATAATTATGGGTCATGGAGTACCCATATGAGAGGCCAAAATCACAAAAACAATTTTCGGCATCTCGACCTCAACACTAACATGGGAAGATGTTGCACATCAAAGGCCAACAACTCACCCTGACACCTTAAACGATGTATGCTTTAATTGAAACTATAGAAGATGAATTTCTACAGCAGTTCAAAGACACCCAGACACAAAAGGAAGCGTGGGATACTTTGGCAACCATTTCTCCAAGAAGAACGGTGAAAATTACAAAGGCTTGAAAACGAGATCTTTTCAATGTCCCAAAGAAATATGTTTGTAAATTAATATATCTTGACGGTGCAATTTCTTTGTGACAATATTTCTAAATTAGATCCTAAAAATGGTATTACAAAAACCAGGATGAAAAGAATTATCATCCATGGATTGGATTGAAGCCAAAATACAAGAGTATTATCACGACGACCCAACTTTAATAGATATGGAGAACTTGATAGTTAATGAAGATGATTTAGATAAAACTACGTCTAGTCGACATACCAACAATGAAGAGACGGCATTTTTCATTAATAAAAGTGATAAAGAAAGACGCGGTCATAGTACGAGGACATGGTTTTGGGAGATTCAAAAATCAATAAAGAAATGCTTGAGGAAACCAAGATAAAGGTTTCCAGTCAGGTGGAGCTCGATGATCTCAACATAATCGAAATGGTCAGAACCGGTGGCAACAAAAGGACAGTCGAAGTGATGAATGTTACAATTACAGTAAGAAGAGACAATAAGTTAGAAATTGTTGGTCCAAGATAGTTGAATGAAATGCTGCAACAACATCAAATAACGAGGCTCCTGGAGAATGAAGATTGGGACTTCGACACTTCATTTTTATCGAAGAGGTAGATGTTGCTCATTCATAAAGGAAAGGACTAACAGATGAATTTGCACTTACTGCGACAAATGATAATATGTTTGATTACAAGAATGATTGGATCGTTGATTCTGGTTGTTCCAATCATATGACCGGAGATGATTCAAAACTTGTGGGCATGAACAAGTACACTGAAGATCGAGTTATTGTGATAGTTGATAATACACAATTACAAATAGATAATGTTGGTAAGACACAACTACCAAAAGATGCAGACATGAAGAAGTACAACTCGAGAATGTCTATCATGTCCAACGGATGAAGTAGAACTTGTTTCCGGTACCATAATTAGATGCTCATGAAATTAGGTAGTGTTTGACCCATATGATGTGAAGGTGTATCGTGAATTAAAGCTCATAGGTATACTGTTCGTGAAAGGACTAAAAATTAAGGCTATCTATGTAATGTCAACAAAAGAAGATTATCTTGAGAAGGCTAGGATAAGTAATAATGGTGATCTATGGCATGCACACCCTGGTCATGTCAATTACAATAAACTGAAGATTATAATGTAGAAGTCCATGTTGAAGGGACTTCCATAACTTGAGATCCAACATAACGTTGCGCATGTTGGATGTCAATATGGTAAGGCACACCAACTGCCTTATAAGGAATCAAAGTTTAGAGCAAAGGAGACGTTGGGATTAGTCCATTCATATGTGTTTGGGAAGATCAAACAAACGTTAACAAACGATTATCAATATCTGATAAACTTTATTGATGATTTCTTCAAGGTTGTATGGGTATGTTTATTAAAGCATAAGGATGAGGGTTTTGAGAAATTTACAAAATTCAAAGATATGGTAGAACTTTAGCTTAGGAGGAAGATCAAATGCCTTCGTGCAGATAATCGAGGAGAATACACTTAAAATTAATTTCACAACTACCTCAAGGAGTCCAAAGGCAACTGAGTTTTGTAAAAACTCCAAACCAAAATAGAGTAGTGGAGAGGAACACACCATGGTAGAATAAATTGTGGTTAACATACCAATTGAGAGTAGAGCATGTCAGTAAGGGATTTTGATTCTATCGCTCTATGTCGCTTTCCTTGCTAGAAACAAAGTTGCTTTGCTTATCACCACTTCTCATGCACATCGCTAGTAGAAGAACGAGAAACCGTAATTTGTCCCCTTATGTGTATTGAAACAAGCTAGAGGTGTCGATATGGAAACGTGATAGGCCGAAAATGTACACAACATGTCTTTTAAAGATAAAATACATAACTAAAAACACTCGCACATATTTATGCACTTAAAGACGTACGTCGTGAATTTCCATAAATGATGACATGATTTTACATTGAAAAGTTATGTTTGTCGAAAATAATTGACATTGGACATCCTTTTTAACAAAAGCCTTTATTCTATAATAAAATGGATGTATGTGGTAATTCCTCGGTTATCTATTCTCACATTTACAATAGTAAAAATTGACCAAATTGCAATTAATTTTCACTTCTGGATATTTAAATAATTCAAGGGTTTTTCTTACCATAGATGAAATATTTGCTTCAACTACGGTTCTACGAAATGGTAGGCGAGATAGGGATGATATAATTGGAGATAGGAAGAGAGATCATGCTTTAATTTATAGGACGTACTTATATATAAAATATAGTTTCTAATAGGGTTGTAAAATATATATCATGTAGAACCAACCAACATATTACCAGCCGAACCAAACCAATATGTTTGGTAGTTAACATATTTGTTTTGTAGTACCATACCAACCAGTTTAATATATATATATATATATATATATATATATATATATATATATATATATATATATATATATATAGGATGGTTCAATTGAGAAAAAAAAAAGGTTGAAAATGGGGGAATCATTCTCAGCCAATTATTTATTTTTGCCGCAAAAGCCTCCAACGTACCGACGGAAATGGGAAACGAATGCACATGTGTTTTCCAACAAAACATGTTTCCTTAAACTATGCTAAACATTACCTTAATATATACAAAAACATAGTTTTTTTCGTTTTTTTTTTTTTAATTTTTAAGAAGCTTTTTTTATCAAAAAATGATTTTAAATATACAAAAATTCATGATTTTTTATTCTCTACAAATAGACATCCATATTGATATAGTTTTAAGATAAAATAAAAAATTTATTTTTTTTATATTTTCAGCTATCGTTATTCATAAGTGAATAAAAATGAATCAGGTTTTTACTACAGTACATTCGTTATTCACTTATGAATAAAAACGGTGATTAATTTTTTTTACAATTTAAGTATCATTCATATATGAATATAGCATATACTAAACATAGTATATTCATATTTAAATATTAGACGATGCATTCACTTGTGAATATTACATAGTATATTCACTTGTGAATGTTAGATGGTATATTCACTTATGAATATTAGATGATATTTTCATATGTGAATATTATATAGTATTACATGGTATATCACATGAGAATAGTACATAGTATATTCACTTGTGAATATTAGATCGTATATTCACTTATGAATAATAGTTGGTATATTCATATGGAATATTGCACAATATATTCATATATGAATATTACAAGGTGTTCTCAGAAATATATATAATTTTTTATGTTATTCACATATGAATAACATACAGACTTGCATATTTGTTTGTTTTTAATAATCACATATTGATTCAGGTGAGAAAACATATCCATGTGTGAATATAACGTGGTAATTTAGTTTATGCATTTCATCAAACAGTTGGAGTGCATACAAGTTAACTTTTTTTAAAAATGTGATAAATATGATACTTTGACTATTTAAATATTACAAAATATTGATTGGTAGAGAAATATATGAAAATTTTCAAACAAAAAATGATTTGATCTTTTTTTAACCTTAATTTCGATGTTTTATTTGATGAACGATGTTGAATGAATGATACGAATTGAATTTTTTGTTGATTATTGATGATGTTGTTCTAATGATGCTGGGAGTATAATTAATCGTAGATGTTGAAGATATGTTCGTATTCAAGCAGAATTGAAGGTTGGATTGAAAGAACAAAAAACGAATGAATTTCAATTGTTATCTAATTCTCTACACTTACGTATTTGTGATTGAAGGCTATATCATATTTACAAGTTTGCCACCGTGTCCTTTATGTTTAGAGACTAATTAAATGAGTGGCTGAGAATGATTCCTCCATTCTCAACCTTTTTTATTTTTCTCAATTGAACCCACCTCTCTCTCTCTATATATAGATATATATATATATATATATATATATATATATATATATATATATATATATATATATATATATATATATATATATATATATATATAGATATATAATTTGTAGTATGCTTTGTTTAATTTTTTTAGAGCTTTGATACAAGAATTACCGATTTCGTCCATTGCTACGTTGCAGGAAAGATGCATTTTTGACGATGACACGAAGAGGCTTATCGGTGAACCTGATGACGTTGTATGCCCATGCACCAGCAACAGCTCCAACAATTGGTCCCAACATATAAACCCATAAGCCTTTGTATTGGTTAGACACAATGGCTGGCCCTAGGGTCCTGGCTGGGTTCATTGAAGCCCCTGAAATTGGCCTTCACCGACCACCAACATAGAAATATTTGAAATTTTTTCAAACAAACAAATAAAAGAATAGAAAATATTATTTTTTAAACGAAATCGTACCCTGCAAACATGGCATTGAGTAGAATGGTTGATCCAATGGCAAGTCCTGCAAGTTCTCCTATCTGCATCAAGAAAATAGAAAATATGATCATTAAAGAATATTCCTAGGAATTTTAGCTGTATAAAAATGGCTATAAAGTCAACCATGATTTAAATGTACGAATAAGATTTATAAATTCGAGAATAGAAGTCAAACCAAATAAAAAAGAACAAGAGGTAGAATATATGAATATGATAATGAAAAAAGTTACTAACAGCACGATTGTCGGTAGCAACTCCAGAAATAACAAACATGAGGTAGAATGTAATAATGAATTCCAGCACTAACGATTGGAGGTCGGATCCCGCAGGGACTGTTGCACCTAGATTATTGTGTTTCCAGTTGAATACTAATCGTAGGGTTCCACTTGCAAGAGTTGATGCGAGGATTTGAACCAGCTACGTATGCAAAAACCTAAAAAGAAACAATGTTTCAATGTACAAGAATAATGTAAATTAAAATCTAAACGAATGTTAAAATGATACTGTACTCACGTCTTTTAAAGGGAATCTCTTGCAAGAGGCAAAAGCAATGGTGACCGCAGGGTTGAAATGGGCACCGGAGATGTGGCCTACGGAGTAAATCATCACCATCACCACCACTCCCCATACGATGGCAATTCCAACTTGACCGATCACATGATCCTTCTCCACGTCCACCACCACCACCCCACACCCTGCAAACACCATGAAATATGTTCCCAGAAACTCGGCTACCAACTGCGATAAAATTGAAACCACGCATAAGAAACTATCATTTATGGTAGATCTATAACACCACCCATCTTAATCTCAAGTTCTCAAGTTTGAAGAAGAAGAATTAATAAAGGAAATATCAAAGTAAGAGATAGACGCACAACCTACTTACAAATATTCATTAATTAAAAAGAACACATGTGAGATCAGCTTATCATAAACAGATGATTCACCTTTTGGCAGAAAAGGAATAGTGAAAAGGGAGGCAGAATTGGCGGTTGAAGAAACTGCTTCATCTTTTATATCAAGTGTCTCCGCATGGTGTCCATTAGCTGACCCTCCTCCACCTATCTCAGCCATACTTGCACCACTGTGTATTTTCCTCCGTATTAATGAGTTTTGGAGGGGAGGAAGAATTTAGCTATGGAGCCATAGTTTACAATGGATATCGGTCTAAGTTGATATATATATATATAGATATATATAATAGATATATATATATATATATATATATATATATATATAATATATATATATATATATATATATATATATATATATATATATATATATCGGTTGAGAACTCAAAGTTTTCCGAGAACCTAAGAACTAAAAGTGAAGCGTGAGATCAAAAGTAATTCGTTAAGGACATGATCGTCATCTTACAAATCTCATTTAATGTTTAATTTTTTATGTTATTTAATATATTAATATAAATGTCTACAAATTTACATCATAAATCAAATTTCCAGATTTTTTTTAAAAATAGTATTTTCGTTTTTTTTAAATGCAGATTTTTAAATTTTTTATAGAAAACATGTATTTTTGAAAAAAAATGAAAAAAATATTTTTTTTAAAAAACTTCAACTTTTAAAAAAAAACTGCATTCTTTTTTTCAAAAAAACTGCAATTTTTTTTAAAGAAAACTTCATTTTTTTCAAAAAAAACTGCAATTATTTTAAAAAAAAACTGCATTTTTTAATAAAAAAAACTGCAAGTTTTTAAAGAAAGTTACATTTTTTTCAAAAAAAAAAAAACAGCATATTTAAAAAAACTGTATTTAAAAAAAAAATTAGGTGCATATATGCATATTTTTTCAAATGCATATATTCATATTTTTTATACTATAATATTCATAAGTAATCATAAAAAAACTCATTTTTATTATCAATCTATAAACACAATAGTATAAGTATTTTGTTTGCTACAAAATAAAATATAAAAAACAAAAAATGCTACAAAATTTCAAAGAGTTTTAACTTCTTCGTGTCAATATTTCCATAATTTCTTCAATTTATCACTTTTCACTTCTTCAATATTTTCCATAAATTCTTCAAAATCTACAAGAAAATTAAAAAATTTTGATTAGTGCAAGAACAGTCACAAAAACACACTTATATATCATGTAAGATTCACATGTGATTCATATGTGAATGACATGTGATTTACATATGAATCACATGTAATTCCTATGTGAATTACATGTTATTTACATGTGAATCACATGTAATTCTTATGTGATTCACTTGTGATCTATATGTGAATCACATGAAATTCATATGTGAATCACTTGTAATTCATATGTAACTCATATGGGATTCACTTGTGATTTACATGTGATTTTATATGTGAATTACATATGATTCATATGTGAATCACTTGTGATTTATATGTGAATCACTTGTGATTTATATGTGAATCACTTGTGATTTATATGTGAATCACTTGTAATTTATATGTGATTCAAATGTGAATCACATGTGATTCATATGTAAATTACATGTTATTTATATGTGAATCACATGTAATTCATATGTGATTCACTTGTGATTTACATGTGAATCACATGTGATCCATATGTGAGTTACATGTGATTTCTTTTCTATAATGATATGAGATTTGTTGAATTCCAAAACACAAATTCCAAAATAGAATACTAAAGAAGCAGATGGTGACTATTAGTGCACTATATAATTAGTTTATGCCCAAAAAATAATATAAATATTAGAATGTTTGTAAAGATTCTGCATTTTTTTAAATAAAAAGATTATAATAATAATATTTATGTACCTTTTGTGTTGCTAACTTTGATTGTTTTTCACTCTTGGCTCATGTACAAACCTAAATGGGAAATAACAAGATACTTTGAATACAATGATATTTGCTTGATAATAAAATATCAATTTAGAATAAAAACTTACCAACATCTAATACTTCTCCTGCTACATCAGTAGCTGTTGTAATAAAGACATACACATTTTTAGATTTTGAAATCATATGTTCTGAGATAAGGTGTTTGTGTAATTTGCAAAAACAATTATAACATGATCGATTTTATTACATACATACATACCTGGTATCGAAGGGAATTTGAGTGGTAAAAAGGGGCGTAAAATGCCTTTTTGTATCTTCCAATCGAGTGGATTTAGGCTAGTTTCCTACAATTTTAATAGAAGTTCACCTTTAGTTGCCTTAGGAATAGGAACTTCAAAAAGCTAAAAAACAAAAGGAAGAATGCATCAACATACTTTCAGAAGGTTCATATTTTGCAATCATCTAAAGAAAATGTAACTTTCACTTCATTTGATATCTATGGTTTCATAAATCATAATCAATCAACACAACACTCTATATTGCAAATGGTAACGACAATTTAGTAAATTGATTAAAAAACAATGAACAAAAACCAAAATAGTATAATTTGGTTGATTATATGAGATTTAAAACACTATTATCCTCTGTCATGTATGAATGAAATAACATATGAAGAAGAGAAATCCAGCACAAACAGATTGATGATTAAACACTAGAAATTGATCGATTATATGAGATTTTGAGCACCTATCATGTTCCATTTGTTGGATTAGTGTCTAAGTCCATAACTATTTTGGTATGTACTTGACCCGATTATAAGCATGGTCCTTTTGGGTTGCCTTCACCGTAGCAATTTGTAGGAGGAATTAAGGAGATAAAGGTTTAATTATGATTTATTAATATATTATAAGAATAATATATTAAAGGAGAAATCATATTGGTTAATTAATATTAGTCAAGAATTAATAAAGAATTAATTATGTGGCTAAAAGAGATTAAACTTGGGGGACTGGAATTGTAATTATAGGATAATTGCAATTGGGCTATGGATCACCTTGGAATAATAGGTTGGATGAATTCTATGGGGAAGCCCATTAGAAATCGTCCAAGGCATGTTCCAGAAGGGGTCCATGGGCTGCTTAGGGCTTAAGCAGTCAAATTAGGGTTTCCTTGTTAGATAACCCTAATTGCCTACCTATTTAAAGAACCCTTGAGACCCAAAAACGTGGGCAAGTCTTCCTTTAGGGTTTCCAGCCGGTTTTGGTGTCTCCTCTCTCCTCTCTCTTCATCCAAGTTGCTTAGTGGTGTTTGTGACTCCATTAGAGGTGCAACACTTGAGGCACTAAGCTTTATGAAGCCAAGGAATTGATTGTTATTGCTACATAACAATCTAGGTAAGATCTAAACCCTAGTTTATATGTTAATTTGATTATTTGTGTGCTAGATCTAGGGTTTATAAGTCTTGGAAGTATATTGCATGTTCAAAGTAGAAAAACTAGATCCAAGCAATTAGGGTTGCATGAACACCATAGGATTGATGTTATGCTCAAAACCCATCAGTGGTATCAGAGCCTAGGTCGTTTTTCTATTGAATAGAAGCATAATTGAACTGCCAAAAATCAAAAATTCGAAAGTTTTTGCTGTCTGGAGCAGGAACTCGACGAGTTGGTAATGAACTCGACGAGTTCTATACTAAACTCGACGAGTTTTCGAGTCTGTTGCCGGTTTTTTCGAATTTTTGAGCAGATTTTGCTAAGGATAATTGCCATAACTCGTTTTTATTGCCTAAAATCGATTTTTCATGTTTGGAATGTTTATCCTTGTCAAAATTAATGGATTTGGTTAAATATGGATAATATAGGATTATTATTAGATATATATTTGACCTAGTAAGTTTGAAAAGTTTCAATTTACACCCTTTAGGTTTAATAGTTTAAATTTGAACTTAAAAGTTTCTGTTTTTTGAAATTTAAATAGTTAAACCTTAATGTTTTGAAAGGTTTCAAAACTTGTCCTCGATTTTTGGAATTTAAATTTTGATTAAAAGTTTAATTTTGAAATATTTAAATTCTAAACCCTAAGTTTGAAAAAGTTTCAAAACTTGCCCTCAAGTTTTGGATTTTAAAATTTAATTAAAAGTCTTAATTTGAAGTTTTTAAAATCTAAAACTCAAGTACTTTGAAAAGTTCAAATTACACCCTTATGGTTTTATTAATTAATTAAAGTGTATAATTAAAAGAGATTTAATAAATCCATAAAGTTTTGGTTTACATTTAATTAAATTAAAAGTATAATTTATTGGATTAAACCACCTAGTATTTTAAAAAGTGTAAAATACACCCTATACTATATATAACATTGAAAGTCTAATATTATATATATGTATGAGTAAACAGTCAGTCTTACCGTTAGTAGGCCTCATTCACGAAGCTGGTCTATAAGGGGTGTTTAAGGAAATTGCCTGTAAAATGACGATTGAATGGGTATCCACTCTTACCCACTGCACTCTTGACTAGTGGAGGGTCGTTAGCCGAATGGGTAGGATAGGACGAAACCTTCCATTATAAGTATAATGAAGTACAAAGTAACTAAATGCTTTACAAATTCCCAAATCATAGTTACTTTAGGCAAAATGTGAAAATTGTATGCTAATCCATGGAATTACACTTCGTACCCTTGTCGAAACGTTAGTGGAGCGTGTGTGGTTAACTGACACACTAATTTGGGTTTGGCATTGGTGGCGAAGGGTGGCTCGATGTTTATCATAGATCAATGGAGCGTGTGTGGCTAACCGACACATTGATGAGGTGATAGTAGCAATTGGGTGCACCACGTGATTCGTATGGTTATTCACACCTTGTTTGTGATCCTCGGCATCCCAGTCGCAAACTTGAAGGGCATAATCGAGATTAAACATGCCATTTAAAAGTTCAATGAATCTCAAAAGATCTAGGAGTTTCAATTCATTTAAAACTTAAACGTCTTTCGTTTTTCATGGTGGAAATTGGTAAATCGTCATTTACCTACCTTCAAATATTCTGCAACTAGATTACGGCATCCCTCTTCTAGGTTGTAGAATATTGTGTTGGATCCTAGCCTTGATGTTCCAGTTGGGTGTTACATCAAGGATTCTTATCAACTAACTTGAATTTTTCTCCCGTTTTGTAGATGTCTGAATCTAACAATGGTCTTTCCAAATCCATTGGAACAAGCTTTCCAAATGAAGATGGCGTTCCAAGATACGATCAAGGAAATGAGAGTCATGC